GCCGGCCGACCCGGAGGCTGCAAGGCGGGTTGGAGCGCCCGGGGAGTAGGCAACGCGCGCGCTCCCCTGTGCGGCGGACGGCCGACACGGAGGCTGCAAGGCGGGTTGGAGCGCCCGGAGAGTAGGCAACGCGCGCGCTCTCCTGCGAGGCGGCTGGCCGACCCGGAGGCTGCAAGGCGCCTCTCGCGGCACTCGGCGTCGGGTAGACAAGTGGAGAGTAGGCAACGCGCGCGCTCTCCTGCGAGGCGGCTGGCCGACCCGGAGGCTGCAAGGCGCCTCTCGCGGCACTCGGCGTCGGGTAGACAAGTGCCGGGTGGTTACTGCCGCCGCGTACTTGCGTGTGCGATGGCTGCTACGTGACACACACTCACACGTACATACCGTGGGATGGTGTGTCGTGCAGGTGTGTGAGAGGGGTGGATGTGGACGAGCGGGGGGGGGGGGGACGCTATCACCGTAATGGCCGGTGATACCTCATGACAGTGCCGTGGCCCGGTGAGATGGATCGCTCCGCTTGTTACGCGCCCCGCCCCGCCTAGGCCCCGCCGCAGCGCTAAGGGCGGCTAAGGGCCCCTCCCGCGGGCCTACCACCGTGGCGTGGAGCGACCCTCGCCTCGCGACAATAAGAACGCGGGCGGGGGGTGTCGTTCCACTCTTCCTCCTTCCGGCGCCCCGCCGGGCCCCGGCGCGCACGAGGAGAAGGGAACAGATGACGACGCCTCGTCACGGGGCCACAGGGCCTCTCGTTACCGCTGCACAGGACGGCCTTTGAGGGGGCAGGTTTAGAGGGTCCCTGTGGCGGCCGGGGGGGGGGGAGGCCGATAAACTGAGCACGGGTACGAGACCCCCGACCCGAACCCCCAAGCACCCGGCTGCGGCGGCGCCGTCGCCGATATCGGCAGCGCTCTTCCTACCTCCCGGGGCGCGCACGCTGCCACTAACTGCTGTCTCGTCTGTCCTGTCCGCAGCGGCTTCCGCGGCTCGCACCGCCCCTCGGGCTCGGGGCGCGAGCTGCGCCGCTTCCTGCTGTACTCGCTGTACGCGTGGGGCTGCCCGCTGCTCATCCTGGTCGTGACGGTGTTCGCGCACCTGTACGCCGGCCGCCTGCGCCTCATCAGCCCCGCCATGGGCGAGGACCACTGCTACTTCGGCACGGACGAGGCCAAGTACGCCTACTTCTACGGGCCGGTCGCCGTGCTGCTGCTCGTCAACATGTGCCTGTTCCTGCACACGGCCGTGCGCATCCTGCAGCTGCGGCGGGAGACGAGCGTGCTCAAGAGCGCCGAGAGCCAGCGGCACAACGATGAGCGCCAGAGGTAAGTCCCCAGTCGTCTGATTCAGAAGATCGTTCAAGAGGGGCTCTCCTATACCTGCCCCATAAGTGCAACAAGGACGGAGCTATACGGGAGGTATAGGAAAGCCCCTCTTGAACGATCTTCTGAATCAGACGACAGGAGCCCGCCATTTTTTCGACAGCCACGTCGCAGTCGGCTTCGGAGGCCCGCGGCTTTAGTTGCCAACCTTCGACTGGACTGAGTGAGAGGGCTGGCGGTGGACAGCAGCTATACAAACAAAAAGCAAGCTAACGGTGCAGCCTTGGTTTCCAGGTACAACGTATATCTCAAGCTGTTCCTCATCATGGGTGTCAACTGGATCGCCGAGATCATGTCCATGCTTTTCCCGGACCCCAGCTACCTTTGGCTGCTCTCCGACGTCACCAACTCTCTGCAGGTGAGCGGCCCGCGCCGGACCTCGGCGGCACAAAGTCACTTTATGCTACAGTGTGCAGCACACGTCCCTAACCCCGTCTTCCCGCAGGGCATTCTCGTCTTCATCATGTTCGTGGGCACCGGCCGGGTGCGGCGGATCGTGCTCCGCAAGGGGATCACCCAGAACACGAGCAGCTACGCCACCAAGACGTCGAGGCTGACGGCGACGGGCAACGGCACGACCACGACCTGCTGCAACGGCAGCAGCAGGGCATCCACGGGGCCGGGCGCGGTCGTCCCGGCCTCGCCCGATGTGGACTTCCCTCCCGGCCGCCAGGACCCTGCAACTACTCCCGCTGGGGCAGATTCAACCGCCCCTGCCCC